AAAATTAAGGAAGTTAAGTCTACCTCTATTGCAAACCATATGTTATAACTTAGAAATAGATATATCAGATATAATTGTTAGACTTAAGGCTCCCTACATAGAGCGCATTAGTAAGGTAGTAGCGTCGTGTAGTTGKGTATCAGGAGCTGGTAGCTCAGGACCATAACTTAGTTTGTCATTCTTCCACTTCGATATCTTTAAGCATTCTAAGACGCTAACATGTTTCATGTTTGTATAACACAAAAACATCCTTTTTTTATCTAGCGTAAAATAATTAGTGCTCGTGGGTTGTGGTTGCCACACCACATAATTATACCACATAAGTATATTAAAAGTGTCCATTTATCAGGCTACTTCATTGTTTTCAAATTCTGTCGCGGTAGTGAATTTATTTTGCTTTGAATAATAACTTTTTATAGAAGTTCATAACTGCTTTGTTTTAAGATATTTACGCTTTACAATCACTTTCTTCTGGAATGACTGCGCAGCTAGAATGTTTTTAAAAACAAAATTTAATTTTGAACAAATATTTTTTTACAAATAGAAACACGTAAAAACTAAATAGTTTATTAACATTGTCAACTAGATGACTTAACAAAATAAAACGCATTCTTTTTGGTAGAACACAAGAGTGATTACGCGGTGTTTGGGGTTCCTGTGTTTATGTCACGCATTCTTCATTGTTTTCAAAGTCTGTCGCGGTAGTGTCCATTTAGATATGGCACCGTGTTAATAATGAGTGAAATTAAGGTAAGATATTTCAAGAATATAATATTATAACACGTTTAAGCTCCTTCTAATACATAAGGTTAGCTTAGTTTTTGATATTTTGACATTTTTGGCATCGATAGCGTGATCCGGCCAGACTCGATTCAACTGGTTTCAGATCCAGTCATGATGAATGCTTCGAACCTCTTCCAAGAGATTTTCCTTGATTGTATCAGCTCGAACATTGTAATTAAAGTATTGTACTGTGGCTTTAGGAAGTTTATTGTGAACTGCAAGCGAATAGAGGCATGATTTCGTGATTTCAGGGGTCTTATTCGTGGATTGTAAACACAACGCCTTGTAAATTGATGTCAAATATGGCTGAAAATGGGGTTGACATACAGCGCTCTCCAAGTTTTGTTTATGAATTGCCCCAAAATTTTATTTTATAAAACTAAGCCATGGGTATCCCTCTTTACTCCTAGTGCAATAGCTTTGAGCTAGGCCATGTACCAGTGGCGATACAGATTTTTGAATATGATGCACKTAAAACCTGGTGAAAACGTACAAATAATTGAAAAATCTATAAAATATTAAATCTGTATCTTGCTTTAAAGACAAATAGCTCTAAATAGTCACTATCATATCAACKTTTAGTCTGGTAAATTTATTTGGTAAAATATGTACGAAATCTAGTGATTTTTAGCACTTTTAGGAGTGCACACAAACGGTCTTTGAAAACCGGAAATGACGTCGAATTTCACATTTTCGCGCCGTTTGCCGGAAATAAAATTCTGATCGAACTAAAACTTATAGCGATGAATTCAGTGCATGGAGGCCTTCACTCATGCCAATTTTGAGAAATTTGAAAAAAAWTTATTTTGCAACTCATAGGTGACCCTTARWGCAAACCCCTCTTAATTATCTATGTTTGTGAAATTCTATGTTATTCTAGTTTCGTCTGGCTTTGCTACTTTCTACGAGTGTGCTTGGTACTGGAATTTGAGCAAAGAACTTATTATTCCTGCTCTTTGTGCGTGATCTTCATCCTCTCCACATGAGCGACTTTTAATCACTGGAAAATCCATTTGGTCTTGCATCAAATAGACCTCATTAGCATTTGCAGAGCAAAGTCACAAAAGATTATTTATTTTGCCGCCAAAGACACGGCGACCATATTTGTTTAGTGTATATCAAACTTAAGAAATCATTTAGTGAAATATTTTCCCCCCACAAATTCAACAAATATAGTGACTGAAAGCAAGTAATATGAAAGMTTATCATGAGCTTCGCTGAACGCCATGCCCAAGCGTTAGCTTTTTGTTGTAGACATAAGCCAAATTAAAGTCAAAATATTATCATTTGACGCTAAAAAATCATGCATGCTTAATATGAACCCCCGTTTTGCATTAACTTTCGTTCAGCCACTTGTCATTCGCAAATATAACAGAGCGTGCTGTGACGGGTGCTTAAATAAGGGGCATCAATTGTTAATAATGAATTTACGTTTTATTTTATTTTCTTAACGAAGTTGTTAAACACTAACCAGTTAAGAACCAAAGCAAATAGCAAAATAAAATAAAAAAAGTTATACAGACTTTTAGTTTCCTGATTTTTTYCCCTTGTATTTTTTCCAGATGCGGTTGATTTAAGTGACATCGTGAAAATCGGGTGCTTCAAAGACATACACAATAGCGTCCGTCCATTACCTGAACTTTTGATTACCGACCGTGATCCATCAGATGAAGTTTACAGCGGAAAGTCCATTAACTGGGAAAATTGGAATTCCTATTTAAAGGATCTTGTGGCTCGATGCGCCGAGGCTTCCAAGAGTAAAGGATATAAGACATTCGGTATTCAATATTATGGTAAATATGACCAAACATTTTGTTTCTGTTAAATTCCTCCGCTTAAAAGGATTAATATGTACAATTCAAGACCTAAGCTGGTCGTGTAAAACTAAGTCTAGAGTAACCTCAAATATCTTAAATTACCAACGGCACGTCAATTATTTATTTCAACTTAGCAACCACCTTGGAATTCTGCAAAGTTGCACTGGACGAAATCCATTGGCGAAGGATAACCCGCCTTATCTTAAATTTCACATTTTTCAGAAAATATTGCGTTTTAGGGGATTAATTTTATAATGCACCAAAGCAGATATAAGGAGTATCTGAACAATTGATTGATCGAATTATGTTTATGGTTCTTGACCAGCTAATTCATTCCTCTCCCATCCCCCCAAACTCATCCCCTCCCTTCTACCCCACGGTCTATACAAAAAAATATGCATAGTGCTGATTGCTATTTTGCAATACGATATGTTTTTAATAGACCGTTCTCTAAAGGTTGCGTGCGCATCCAACTTGACGGGCCACAATACTGAAAAGCGCAAATTCAGTAAAATTGAGAAGACAGTTTTATAATTAAAGAGAAGAACAATCGATGTTATGAATTCTTATTGAAAAAATGCCATAACCGAACAATGCATGATAACACTCGTGTTCTGGTATATTGGCCCGTCAAGTTCTTAAATTTGGATGCGCACGCAACCTTGAGAAAACGGTCTATTTGAGCCTTCCGCAGGGTACCCCATATATTCTCCGTTGGGATCCCTGTGTTAAACCTTATAGGGGAGATGCCTGCGGAGGTAGGAGGCTAAGGTGTGCCATTCTTTATTTGCATGTGGTTTCATTATGCCAGATTAGAATTTACTTTTCTCTTGACTTTGCAGGAGAGTGTTGGTCAGGAGGTGATGGATACACATTCGCTAATGAGGGCTTGACGAGTACCTGCATAGATGAATCGGGTGAAGAATGCAACAACGAACAGGCTGAAGTGTGCGCTGGAAAAGCCAATACTAATTATGTTTATATCATCAAGTCCTAAACCAAGTACTTGCATTAGGAAATATCATATGGCTTATGAATGCAGTTCATAAAAACTATGAATGGAAGAGCTTTCAAGGAGTTCAGAATTCTGGAAAACGATTATTTGAAATTAAAGATGTAATGTATTTTACTTCAAGCAATTTTTTTCGGAAAAAAATGGATTTGAAAATACGGTTTTATTTAGTTTTTGTTTTATCTTTTCTCTTCGCGACTGTTCTTGTTTTTAAAATAAATTGAGCGTTTTCTTAATAATTATTATTTATTCTATTTTTAGTTTATTCTATCTAAAACAATATACTAACTACATGCAGAGATTAAATTGCTGTATATTTACTTTTTATTTCAAATTAACGAGACCCGCAATGCGCTTCGGTCTTGGAATGCACTATTCAGTATGCAGTATTCAGTATTCAACCTTTTTTGAAATAGCTGT